AGCCATCCCATCTTTCCTTGCCTGGGGCCAATATGGAGCACCTCCCGAAATGTATTCTCGATCCTCCATTATGCGGCGAATACTGCCTTCGCGGCCCTTGATGTTATTCATTGTCGTCGAGCGGGGCAATGAGACAGCAAGGACCTGTTCTGCTGTTCTCAAAGCATGTTCGGTGCTCCTCGAAAACAGAATAATAGCCCATGTCGACATTTTCTTCCTTCTTCGGTTTTTTAAACTCGCCAATCGCGCTCAGCGGTTTCCAGGACTGATGAGCTTGCTCGCCACAGACATCAAATTTGCGAAATTCATGACTCTTCTGCAGTACGCCGAGGGCGCCGTCGAGGGTCGTACGATGGTCACCAGTGCGAATATCCCTAATGTCATCGGTGTCGTTAAATTCAGCATTCAGCATGTCCCGGTCCCAATCCAACAGTCGTTCGAGGAGCTCTTTCGGCTTTATCGCACGTCGCAGAGCCTTGTCTGCCCGGCTTTACTGGCTTTATGCAGCTTATTTTGGGCAGAGCTCCCCAGGCTCCCCGAACGAATGCAGCAACGCGACTCTCATACAATGATTCGTGATTGCATCACGCTTGTTTCAAGTCTTGCGACAGGACCTTCGGATTTCCAGGAAGCTTATGCATTGGGCGTCTGGATCATCACGGCTGCTCTCAACACTGACGAAGATGTTGCGACCAAAATGTTCGACCAGTCCATCAGCCGCTCTCTTTTGGAGCCTCTTTTGCAGATCACAGCTCCTGGAGCAGTCGAGACTATACAAAAGATCTTTCGATGTCCTATATGGGTCGCTGACGGAAGACCAGAGAACTTTGGATGGCGTCTGGATCTTCTGAGACGGTATACGGAGAGAGACCAGGAGCTTTTACAGTTCCATCTGGCAAATGGACTTCGGGAGCGATGGCGTTGGCAGATTGGAAATGAAGAGAAGAGCGCTCATACGATCATGAAGAGGTTAGACTCGCTTTTGGGATTGGATTCGACGACACAGATGCGGCTAATGGAGACAGTGAAGTCTGTTCTCTATGACCAAGACATCTCCTTGTCAGAGCCCATCTTCGTCGAGCTGTTTCGCCTCATTTCGACCCTGGACGAGCCACGAGCGGTGGATCTCGCCCGTCAAATGTTGGTCAACAATGTCGAAAGTCGGACAGCGGTAGCAGAACAAGCAGCAGCAGGAGCTCTGGCTGCTCTGGATGCTAAAGCTAAAGATCCAGTCTTTTCCTGGCGAGCGCTTTCGATACGATAACGTGAGCGCTCTGCTTTCTATCATATCATCTCGCTCAACTGCTTGACAGGCGTAATACGAGAAACCCACAAGATCTCTGTCGCCAGTGCTTTGAATTGCTGGCTATGGTCGACCTTCGACCTTGTTCCCCAGCTTCTGCAGCTTCTTTGTCTCGACCTCGAGCGTCACTTTCCCCCATTCCGAGCTCGTCATCTACGACATGCGAGGACTCTTCGTCAGAATATGTCCACAATTCACCCCAGATTCTTCTCGGTTCATCCTCTTGTTCAATCAGCGAAAACATTCTCAAGGGATCCCTAGACATGAGACGAGAATCAAACGAAATTTAGACCTGCCTGGCCAAACATCCTTGTCGTCAGGTGCCCTTCGCGAGCGTCGACAAGGAAAGATGCCCACAAGGCAGGTTCGACGTCAAAGCGATCCAGCTCGATGTTCGCTTCAGCTGCAATCGCAGACGCGAGATTCACGTCAACGTTATCGACGGTGGAAGAAGCTGGAAGATTGGACGAGGAAATGGAAGGGAATGATATGTTGCAGCTTGGGCAGAGAACAATTCCGACACGGTTCAATGCCGCCATGGTCTGTTGCAAAACAGAGGGGCGAGAGAAAAGAGAAAAGGAAGGAGGATCTAAGGGAATGCCAAACAAAAGCAATCAGTGAGACATAGAAATTGATATTCGGAAATATAAACCTGCTCAAGACTTTTGAGATGCGTCGACCGCAAAAGCCGAGCCTGTCGAGTGACAGCACAACCACATATGTCACATCACGTTGTGTGACCATCTTCGGCCCGAGAAACGTTGAGGTCGTGGTGCCGTTTTGTCGGACGCATTATCGGTTTATAGTGAAAAGTGTCGAGGTCCCGGGAATGCAATTCCTTGAACACGGAATTCTGGAGCCTTTCCTGCAGGACATCGGCAGGAGAGCGCGTCTTCGATGTCCTGAGCCCCATGGTGGAAGACGACAAACGCGAACGTGACGGCGACCTGAGCGAAGACGCCGTGCCGGGGCTTCTCGCGACGGCAGCATGACGTCGTGACATCATTTTAGACGCGGGCATCGAGCGATGTCGTCATCAGATGTCCTGGCGCCGAAGATGCTCGCAGAAGAAATGGCAAATTCTCATGGCCGTAATTTCTGAATCAGTCTGTACGCGCAACGCCGTTCAAGCTTGCAAAAGCGTGGCTGCTGCGAATGACATTGAGAGCTCACCGAATGACCGCGGCTTGGTTAATTTCTCGACCGAGCGGGACCTCGAATGCGCTGCAGAATTCACATTGAAAATCTTGCATGCTTGGGAGAGAGCGACGCAGCGTGTTTAATTTCTCGAAGACCTGGCCGATCGTCAAAGAGCCGACGAGGTGTCGATCGGCAGCTAGCGATCGACGCGGTTAAATCTCTCAATCGACCTAGGATGGATGGACCGCTTAACCACTCCGGCAAAGTGAGCGAAGAATTGAAAGGGTTAAGTAGCACTCTGGCTCCGGAGCAGGCATCCAGATTGAAGATGAATGTGCAGCTGAAATATGTCTGAACTCCGAGTCCTTCAAGTTGGATGCTGGATGAGGCTGATACTGTATCGTATTTAATTCCAGTTCAACCAATTATATTATAACTTTATATTGTGCCGCAGCTTAAGATATATTGTATAGACTTGGGAAAGGATTCATCGAGCAGAAGAGAGCCGCCACTTCGTGATCGTTTCGCCAAACCGATACCAATGCTTATCCCATCATGGCGTCGTTTCGCGATTTTGCCCTGGTAACCATGGGAGGACGATCTTGAGGAGCTACAGTTCCTTCAGTGGGCCAGCCATTCTTCTCCAAAGTACTCTTCCAAATGGCAAGAAGAGGCTCGTGGGTGCTGAAGGGATGATTCGACAGATCGACAGGAACAACCTGGAGACTCGTCTTCGGCGTCATGACCGTATTTGCTACAATCCATTGATTGGCAAGCTGTGTAATCTGGATTAACCAGGAGCGCTACGGACTGCAGGCGGTGAACTTGAAGTTGGCGGCCAGTCGGCGAGAATTCTGATTCAGGGATGACTTTTTGATGCTACCACCGGTGGTGAGGCCGCTGGTCTGGATATAATCTCCGTCGAAGACCTCGGTGAATAATTGAAGTAGCTGTTCGTAAGGGACCCGTGGTACAGTTCGACATAGATGAATGATTCTATATTGTCCTGAATCTCGTGCAGCTTGTACGGGTGGCGCATATTGAACTCCGGCGTCGTCCAAAGTTTTGATGGTTTGTGATTCCGGAGTCGTGGCGACGTCTCTCTAATAATCCTTCAAGAACATGGCTTTCTTGGTCGATAATTCGACGCAAGGATAGCCACGACTGGCGCGACCAACGACCGAATTTCGCTCTTGAAGGGAGAGCCAGGTCACAACGTCCACATGAGTGTTCGTAGTCGAGTTGAAGACGCGGATCTTCGAAACAGTGCGCTCAATGCCTTTCTGAGCCCAAGGTACGAGCTTCTGATGGGCTAGAACTTTCTCTTCCTTTGTCGCCGGCGATACATTGGCATAACGCCAAAGAAAGTCGACCAAAAGCTCAGAGTCAGTCGTGTAGCTGAAACCACGAGAGACGACGACCCCAGCCTGGTTCCAACGATAAAAGCGGACTTCGTCGGTGGAGATGGAAAGAGAAAATTGGTGGAGACGATGCTGGCGGCTATTGATTTTGGTGGCATAATAAGCAAGCTGAGCGCGAGCTTCACGAGCAGTCTCGCTTGGCTTGATGAAGCCCTCGACCTCAACGGTCTCAGGCTTCTTGCATTTGGGTCTTTGAAAGGGGTGAGTTCTTTTCTCCGTTTGAGTTCCAAAAAGAAATCCGCGAAATCCCATTGAGTGCGCTTCTCGCGAGTGTCGAACATCGGAGTCACAGAGGATTGCCAGGCTCAGTGCGCTATATTCTCCTGATACCTCGCAGGAACGCAGTGATTTGTCAGATCAGGGACTTGAAACAGCGGTTAACCACTCCGGCAAAGTGGGTCTGAAGCGATCTCCTGCAGTAATAGAGACATTCTTGCGGTCAGAAAAAAGGTTCATACGTACGCGTCAAAATTCCAGACGAGCTCGACCCTCAAAGGAAAGATAGACCGGGACTCATCAGTGTGCCCGGGACTCTAAATACTCTAGTAGACAGTAGACTAGCTACTCAAGTCTTTAGAGTCAAATCCGGTCCCTGCAATCCTGAAAACGCTATTCCCGCTCTGCCTCTGATGTCACTCCTGCCCCTGCTCCTCGAGACGAGACCCCAGTCCAGCTCTCCAGCACTGTTTCCTTGACAAATGCGGCGCATGATATGACCAGACTCTAGGGAAGAATCAGACATGTTCTGGAGTCTCCAAATGTGACCCGCAGACCTGACAATCCAATGAAGCCTCGACTAGTTTGCAACAGGTGTTACATCATCCGCGATCTTGATGAGCCGGATAACCACTCTAGCAAAGTGGATTATTGGAGCATGCTAGACAAGATCTATCAATGCAGAATCTGAGCAGCGGGAAGAGGCTAACTTGAACTTTTACACAGTAACTCTAGTTATATTTTTGAGACATCAATTCAACTCCGACTTAAGAAGGAATGATCGAGTGATCGATCGATCGCGCGGTTAAGCACTTCGGCAAAGTGGGTCTGGTCTGAAGGGTAACAAAGACATTCCTGCGCTCAGTGAGCAAAATGAAGGCCTTACTGAACAGAGTACAGTGCACAAGAAGAAAAAGATGCGTCACCTGTGCGATTCGAACACACGCGTGCAAAGCACATCCGCTGCGGTTAAATTTCGCGTATTACGTAAGCGATAAGTAGCAGGCGAACCCGTTAACCACTCCGGCAAAGTGACTTGTAGAGCAATGGGAAGACCCCATATAGATGTAGAAAGTACATAAATGTAGAATGCACCAAGTCCACATTCTTGACGCCACACTTCCAAGTTCCCTACCCCGATCGTCACCGTAGGTTAAGGATTGATCGGATCAACGCAGATTTGATTCATTGTCGCTTCCTTGTCAAAAGACAAGCATGATTTGAGTGGACTGAGCAAGCTCACAAGTCCAGTGTCTTTCATCCAGCTATCTTTCAATATCTGGTTGCCCTCCAAGGGATTGCACTATCTATCCTGTAGTCCTTTGTGGGTGGATGACTTCAATCTCCAGACCAACACCTGGAACCCGCCAACACTCTGGCAAACTGACTTGTAAGGCTACAGACTCAATTACGCCACCAAAATGACCTAGTCATGTCGCATACAGAGTTCCAGCGGTTCATTGAATACCCATTCAATTAATAATCACTGAGTGACAGAAATGCCACTTCCGAAACCGTCCTTTACCTTGAAGGGAATCCATTCTCCGACCGAGGCAGCAAGGTCTCAAAAGTACCGAGAGTTGTAACTTGTCACTGCCATTCTCTAAGGTGTTCAAGGTGAAGGGATAGATAAAGAAGCAATGCATCACGCATCACGTTTCACCGCAATATCCTCACAGGGGTTTCTTCGCAAAGTCTAATCAGACGTGGGAGCAAATTTTACGTTTATTCCAGGGTCGGAGCAGGTGACCTCTTGACATGTGCCCATTTCTTGCAGATCTAGACTCATCTACTCCAACCCTGGGAATAGATGATGTGTCCGGCCCCAGAATAGAGTAATAGGTCGATCAGTACAACGGAGTTGGTGGACATATCGGTAAATCATCGGTTCGGTTTGATCGAGGTAGATTAGTCAATCAATTTATGTCATTCTACATGTGACTGTCTGAAAATTGGTTCCGAGGCCGGCGCAGCTCCGTAAACATAAGCGATAGATATTTTTTACAATTTGCATTTCTTGCTTGGCTGTAGCCAATGTCAGAATACAAAAATCATTTGTTGATGGTTACCAATGATATAAAATTTGGCCACAGCCAGTCTTTCACCCTTTCCCACCCTTCGATTCACCCACTGTCCTTATTCCCAATCCACTGTCTTTCCTCCTAGTTCACTCATTTTGTCGCAAGATGTGACTTATATCACTTCCAATGGCCCACCACAACATCAGCATGGCTGATACTTACTGCCAAGGCTACTCAACGTAATCGAGGGCAAGGCTTGCCCTTGATTACCTAATCCACAGCAACCACGCTAGTTCCGCCATGACCTCTCACTAATTCTGCTCATTCTCTATTGGGATGGCTCATTTCTGTCTAAAACTCTGGATTCTGTAAGCAAATGGCTATATCTTGCTGCTGTTTCCATCAATTGACCCATTTCTTCCAGGTTGATTTGATTTTTGCAAAATGCAGGCAAATCTTTTTTGGTAATTTCTGGGAGCAGTGCGTGCAGAGGCACCTTACCATGGTACCATGTATACCAGGGGTATGTCTCCTTGCTATTACCATTGCTTTTTCTCTGCTAGGGTGACTGATTTCCAGATTTTACCCTTGTCAATATGCCCCACACCAAATGGCTTCTTCCCGGCCAATATTTCCCTCAATCTCTTATTCCCTTGGCAAACTATTATATATTTGCACTCTGGCCTTTTCCATATTATTTTTTCCAGAGCTGCAGCACCTGATCACATTAATATTGGTCATGGGTATGTCAAATAATCTTTCATTCTTTTGTGAGGCTAATTCCTCGCAATAGCTGAGCAAGTATCCAAATAAAGCTCTCAGAACAAGATACCACAAGGGAGAAGATGTGTGCTATGCTTTTGTTGCCGACCTTGCCTGAGTGCCTGCAGAGTCAGGTCCAAGTTGATGACAAGTATGGTTTCTCATTCTGGAGTCTATACAAGATGTTACACGGGATAATCAATGAATTATGTTTCCTTGATTGATACATCCTGCACAAATACATCATATTTGTGTCCAGGCCCTCGCGGAGCCGTTTGGGACCTTTCCGGACCCGCTCTACAGCTTATGTATATTCCTGCATCCCTTTGACTTCTCTTGACTCTGTACGAGTCGTTATATCTGACTAGACTGTGACTCCCTTGACTTTCTGTGACTCATCTCGGAGTATTTAAGTAGATCCCTTGTACTGTAACTAGTCATTGGATTGAAGACTTCTTTTCCCCTGTTTACTGGGATTAGAATGAATTCACTCTGGTGCAGTCAGCATTTGGAGTGTCTTATTGGAGACCGATAACCCCATATTCGACGTGTCTCGCAAGCAGTGAGGAGGTAGGGGTGCATTCCATATGATATAGGAGGCGGTTGCCTGCAGATAGTGACCACCACATATGACGGTAACATGTGAGGAAAAAAGAGTATCTGGGGGTCTGTAGGCTGAGTTCAATGTGTTCGCTGGTTCGGAGTTGGAGCAGCAATATGAGCTTGGGCAATCTCAGACATTGACTGCACCGAACGAGGTTGGTAAAGGTATTTGAGGGGTACAACTGGACCAGGCTGAATGCAATGTGCAGGTACTCCTTGCGCTTCTACACATCTGACTGAAGGTGCCGCAGTATGAATGATAGTGCTGGTATCTGCCTTTAAAACATCAGATACAGCGGATGCGGTGGCAGTGAACCTTCATGGAATCGCGACGGTGAGAGCACTGACTTAGGAATTCCATAGTCTTCTTGGTTTCACCACACCAAGATCTAGATAAAGCTTGATGAGGGTGTAATGCTTTGTGGAGAGTGGTCAAGTCCAACATGAGCTTGAGGCTTTTCACATCGCGAAACCAGTTGCACCAGCGACCCTGGCAGCTAAAACCAAAGGAGTCAGAAACATACCGCGATGCTAATGGAAGGTCATACCTTCTCAGAGGAGGATATTCTGTATTGTCTGCGGATATTGGTTGGTATGGGTTTTCCAGAGAGCAGCTGCTCCTTGTGTCAAATGTCTATTAACCGCAACAATGAGATTCCTGGGGACATTGTACATATATGGCTATACATATATCAAGGTATGTTCTCCAGCAACAATATTTGATGTTGTTGCACAAGCACACAGTTTTTTCTAGGGAGATTTGATGCGACCAAGCTGATCAAGCAGGATATCAAAGGACCTGGTCCTGAACTAGTGGCTGATTTCATCCTGTCACAACCATCAGACTTGAAATGATTGCCTCAGCCAGAATAGCTCACCTAGATATTTCTTGGTGATTTGAGACAGAAAGTGAACCAGGAAATGGAGTGGTGCAAAGGATGAGGCTAGTAAAGCTGGGCAGGGAAATGTGACCAGCATTTTCAGAACACAGTTAACCCATTGATATAAATGCCGACCTGTAACAATTGTCTGGCAAAGCTCAAAACCAGATGGAATAGAGCCGCAGAGGCAATGTGGAAGCAAAGATACTGGTGTGCAGTACTAAGGTGGGAAGGTGCATATGACGCTGGGCTTGACGGAGAAGTGACCACATTCCCATCTGGGTGGATATGGGCAAATCAGCCCATCCGGATTTGTTATGTCAGGCAGCCTTGATTGTACTCCAGCTTGGCTCTTTCATACCAAATCTATTACCCATTGTACTTATTCTCTTCCATCCTGAGCCAGCACCATTAATATAAATGCCAACCTGTGACCAGTCTCTGGCAATGCTCAATACTGAATCTGTAGCATTCATAAAGAAATATAATTCCAGGAATGATTCTACTGAGTTGTAGAACTTGAAACAGTCCTCGGCCCTTTGGATAGATCCAGAGTGTCCTTGTGTCATCTGGGTTAAGCAGAACCCTCAGCATCGAGGCATTCTGTGGCTCAATGTCAACTAAGAGGTGTTCAGACCATGAAGGAACAGGATTGTTTGGCATAATGTAGCGAGGATACATTTTAGAAAAATGCATAAATGCATTCTGTTGTAAAATTCAAAAGTACAAAATCTGATCCGGTGCTCGCTTGGAAGGCGCCGGTCAGGCTGCATCGCCAATTTTGCCTGTGTCATCCAATATGTCATTGACATCAGTCACCGACCCAAATGGGTATTAACCGATGATTTACCGATATGTCCGCAATCTCCGTTGTACTGATCGACTGATCACTCCCCAGAATACTACCTCTCTAAATATATTCAGATTCACCCAATCTGCTCCACCCTGTGAATATTTCGGCCTGAAACACGGTGTATGAATGTCCGCTGCTGTCTCAAAAAATATCACAAATGTTCGTAATATCCGGTGCCCTTCAAGTTAGAATATGGAACTTGAAGAAATGACATTGAAAGTCCAGAGTGATTGCCTTTTCTGGAGTGGGTCAACCAGACTTGGTCCCCATGGTCGACAAAGACCCGAGAGTGACAGTCCGTTGAAAACATGCAAAAGACTCAAAAGTTGATTGCGGCATCTGCGGCACAGGAACCAGGAACTCTGATTATATACTTTGATAGGAAGAGTGGAAGCACCTCCAGCGTATAAATACCCCAGGATAAGAGGTTCTTTCGGTCTCAGGTCTCCCACTCGCAAAATGGCCTTCCTTATATCCCTTCTCTCAGTTCTCATGCTTAACGGTCAATATGGGGCACCAACATCCGTCCAAGATGCCATTGCTGACCCTACATTATCCATAAACTCTGTGCCCTTCAGTACCCGAGCATTCTGGATGAGGCAGGCCAATGAAGCCCTCATCACGCTGGGTTCACCTTGCCCATTTTATAAACTCATTTTTCAGCGTTTATTACTGACACGTGGTACAATACGTGATGCGTGGTACGTAAAACCTGGTGATTTTCGTGCTTCCTGGTACTTGATACCTGGTATAAAGTACAGAATTTCAACTGCTACTAGATTACTGGACTATAAAAGTGTGTGCAGTCCCATGAAGATCCAGGTTTCAGTGAAACCATGTTTGATCACACTGGTCATGATTGTCACAGCTTCCTGGTCCTTGATGTGACATTTCTTACTTTCGGACTCTTGGCTTG